AAAATACGTAGCTATTTAATTGGATTTCAAGGCCTTGCGCTGATAAGTTCATGAGCCTCAGCCAATCCATGAACCATCGATTTTCGGCATTCTAGTTCATTCATTAACTGGGGCAAGGGCATGTTCATTAATTTATTCGGCTAAATTGCAAAGATACGCAGCTATTTAATTGGATTTCAAGGCCTTGCGCCGATAAGTTCATGTGCCTCAGCCAATCCATGAACCACCGATATTCAGCGTTCTGGTTCATTCATTAACTGGGGCAAGGACAGATTTGCTAATTTATTTGGCTAAATTGCAAAGATACACAGCTATTTAATCGGATGTTTAATTTACTCATCTTATGATCTTACATCCTACTAGATTGTTAACTAGCACATGCAATAGACAGAAAAGCAAAGGAAGTTTTCATTAATAAATTAAGTACAGATAGTAGTCATTTTACACATGAAAATTACCCTACATATAACTTCTAACCGAAGTAAATAAACAAAAATCTACTAACAAAAATCTACGAAAACTATGCATGGAAGATGCCTAACAAAAATCAAAGTATCACCCTAGTCAATCTTCAGGGTCAGACTCCAGCGGCTCAATGTTCACCTGCTCGTATGGAATCGGCTGCACCAATGTCACATTAGCGACAGTAAGAGCTTTGAGCTAGCCGTGTTTGAAGCTCCGATTCTCGAACTTGGGTACTTCCTCCACGTAGTTCTCCAAGGCGGCGTCCTTCCCAGCTTGGAATGCTTTGGAAATCTCGGAGTCGGCCATTTCCTTTGCCTTCTTCGACTCTTCCAAATCGGCTTCCAATTTGGCAATCACCTTATTGGTTAACTTGAACGCGTATTCGCTCGCGCTTGCCTTATCTTCGGCGGCCAACCTGAGTTGGTCGGAACTCTTCACCTTTTCTGCCTTGGCGTCGGCTTTTGCACGTTCCTCCACCATTTTCGTCATCTCTCAGACTCGGCTCTTTGAGAGGCCTCCACGGCCTTGCTTTTTTCATTTTCAATTTTGTCTTTTTAGAAAGCTGATCTGTTCAATAACATCATGTTGACGACGACCAATCTCGGCTATCCTGTCCGTCGTCTGCAAAATAAGGAATTGGAGTTAAAAAATTAAAACAAATAAAATAATAATAAAGGTGGAAGACTGTAGATAAGGCTCAAGTTATGTATCAATATGACCAATTGAGCGGCTCATGCTATTGACAGCAAATCTGGCTCCGCCCGAAAAGTCGTTCTGTCAATCGGCTGGGAAATTGAGGAAGCCATGCTCAAGGCCACCGCCGGATCTTTCAAAGCAGACGCATTAGAAGCAATCAGCACGTTCTTTATCCTTGGTTTAACGGTGAAGGGCACAATCGAGTTCGACTCCTCTATGCGAGGTCGTTTATCGGTAAGGTTTTCCTCGGGTCAGCTTCGCGCTCGGCGGAACGCTTTTCCCCCTCTGCTTGGCTTCCTGATCCAACTGCTCGATTATTTGCTCTGTCTCAGCCGTTTTAATCTGAGTTGTTTCTTCCACGATAACAGGTGGAGAAGATTCAGTCACGGCAATAGGGGGAGGTTCAGATCGGTTGGTCTCGACCCTCCTCCGGGAGGCCATCCTTTTGGAGTTTTTCCTCCTGGCCAGCTGTGTGAGTGACTCCCCAGCCATGTTCTTAGGATAGGCATCGGGAAGGTGCTTTAAGTCGATAAAAATATCTTCAAATGAGACGTCCCCTCGACCGAAAGTTGATGGAGGGTTGGATTGATTAAGGCCGGCTTCTTCAAAAGCCAAGTTTAGAGCCTCGTCAACTTCTTCGGCTTCCAAAGTGGACTAATTCGGCTGCTCGGCGACTTCTTCGGCTACCTGTTCTTCCGCCTGCTCCGAATCAGAAGCTTCCAAACCAACATGCCTGAGGTTTTTGAAGTTGGGGAAGATAAGGGCCGTGAGCTGTTGTTTGCCCCTTGGAATCGGAATATTGTCTGCTGCCTAAAAGGTTGAGTAAGTCGGCTTGTATCTCAAAAGTATGTGGGCCGCCCTCCCTTACTTCTGGGGGTTTGGACGGCCAAAGAACTGGAGTGTGGTTTTGATTTCCACAAGCACAACGTCGTCGGCCGAAACCAAAACTTTCTTCAAATCGTTGCCTGCATAAATAAAACGATAAGTGAATGGCAGGAAAGTCGAGTAAATATATAGCAAATATACGTAAGGAACTACACGGCCACCTGGTTCGCCTTTTCGTCTGGGCAGGCGATCTTCGCCCTCGTCGAATTCCCAGTTGCCTCGGACAACGATCATGACATCATCAATTCGCTTGCCAGAGCTGGCAAGCATAGTCACCAAATGATGGTCGGTGTCCTTAGCCTTGAGAAAGTAGCGCCCCTGCTGGCCAGAAGATTTGGCCAAGGCATAACAATACCGAATAGCAGGGATACCAAGATTGATCCTAAGGCGTTGGTTCAACTCTACAATTCCCATTATGATTCGGTAAAAATTTACATTAGGTTGGGAAGGGATTAGACCCCAGTGACAAAGGACGGCCCTTAAAAATGGGTGAAGGGGGAAACGGACTCCGCCCTCAGCAATTGATAGGAGAGGAAAGATGATTGTACTCTCATCAGTCATCTCCATATCAATTGTGCTCTTTGCCACGAGTGACAGGTGGACGTCGTCAGGAATGGAGAAATGGCGTCGAAAACCAGAAATTCAATCCGTAGAAAGAAGGGCATTCAAATGTTCCTAGCCAGTTTAGGGAGTATGCTAAACTAAAAACAAACAAGGAAATAGGAATCGAAATGGAGGAGAAGAGAACTTACAAGAAGCATAGAAGACAATGAGAAACGAGAGAAAGTTGCAAAGGTCGCGACGTGAAGGAGGTATACTGAAAAGCAAACCACAAACCTTACGTATTCAAAAAACATACATTTGAAGGGACAACATAGTTTCAAATCACATTAAATGAAGGAAGCGTACGAAGGGATGAGAAATTGTAATAATGCCTAAAAAGCATGTGCATTTTGACACTTACGTTGGAATGAGGTTAACCGTCGAATTTTTTGACTTTTTAAGTTTGAAACTAAACATGCCGACTAACTGGTGTCAGTAGGATGTTTGGGGGGCAATTGTGGGAGCCGAATATCAGTACATGCAGTGAAGCCGAATAACGTCTGACGATAATCAGGATATATATTATATTCGGCTCTATCCTGTATGATCCCAAAGCCGAATAAACTAATCGGCCATAGAACTAGTTGAACAAAAAGCCGAGTGGAAATTGGCATACGACAGAAGGGGTTTAATGGGCAATCACGCGATGGATTAAGAGTGGGCCCGACCCTAGGGCCCAAAAGCGAATATAAATAGAGGAACATCGACCAAAGAAAGGTATGTAAGAACAGACCCAAAAAAACTTAAGACTCAAGCAAACAAGAGACCTATACTGACTTGTCCGTCGGAGTGCTAATTTCAGCACCCCTGACGGGAGTGTTAATCCCTTTTTCAGGTGGTGATCAGAGGATCAGGGTTGTCCTTCAGGATCCAATAATATTTCCAAACCTACTTCTCTACACTAAAAACATTATCAATTTTCATGGTAATGTTCTAGATAGTTGTTTCGCTAACTAATGAAAAACAGAAAGCATGAGATTAAACGTTTTTATCATTCTACTTATTGGTTTGATTCAACCATCTAATAAAATTGAAAATATTATCAGTTTTTGTCAGTTTTAAAACTAAGAGCATTATCAGTTTTTTATTTTTTTATTTTAAACTATTTTTTTTTGGGTTGTCAATTTTGTACATCAATATTCCATCGTCATACTCCTTTATAAACACAAATTTTTTAGTTTTGCACAAAAAAAATAATTCAGTTTTTTTGAATTTTTCCACAAAAAAAAGAAAAAACCATTAGTTTTTTTTTTCCAATTTAAAAGTTGATATTTTAAAGTTTTGAAAATCAAAATAAATGTCAAATTATTATGTTCCTTTATATGTAATCATAAATGATGAACAATCATTGTTGAAAGGCAATTCCGACTATTAAAATTTAATAAAACTTAAAAGTCTAAAAAATCTTAATTAGGATTTAATATAATATAAGTTCATAAATTAAGATTTGTGTACAAATGTCCCTTTAATATAACCACCCAAACGTATTATTACAATCCAATTAACTCGAACTGTTTGAGCTGGTTTGGTTTGGTCTCAATAGAATTGAATTGATTCTCCATTTAGGCCTTAGTTCACTCCCTCTATAAAGAATGGAAAATTCTATTTATCTTAACATGCATTCACTTAATTAATCTATTATAGTAGATTTGATTACATTGAATAATTTTTCATATAAAACAAAATTTATTGACTTTAATTTCTATTGATTGTATTTGGATTGGATTTTACTATACTTTGACATGTATTAACAATATTTTATTTTATTTGCATTATGTTTAAATGTTAAAAATTTATTTATTTTGATTTTTTTTTAAAAGGACAAAGTCTAATTTACACTATTTGTTTATTATTAGAGTGATGCTACAGTTCCTAATTGAGATCACTAATTCCACTTCTAATGATTTGATTAAAACTATGTAAATGATCTCACACTATTCCCTCCATATTTAACTCCCTAATTCGACACCAATGATGGTGGAATTGGGAGAGGGGTAAAATTAAGAAATAATTTTTTCTTAATTATTATTTTTTATAAAACAAATTAAAAAATTAAAAAGAGAAAAAGTAATGCTAAAAATTCCAAATAACTTACCAAATAATTTATCAAAAATTCATATGAATATATGACTCACGTGAGCGTAGGATGCACCTTTATATTTTAAGTATTAAAGAAGTTGATTATTTTAATTTTTGGAGAGAAGAATATTGATTTTTTTATAATTGAATATAATATTTATGAGAGAAAATATAAGATAATTATAAATTACATATAATTTTTTTATCTAATTAATTAATTTATTTTTTAATACTATTTTAATACAAGAAACTAAAAAAAGCCTGTGTGTCTAAACATTTTTTAAAGAGAAAATGAGAAAGAAGATGCACACCGCGTTACAGAGCTATTCAACGGCAGACCTCTCTCCCAAGAGTCGTCGCGTATAGAGGGCCAATTGTCATCCAATTGCCAATTGTTAACTTCTCACAATTTACAAACCCACTGTTCTAATGTAATTTCCCAAGTTCTCATCACCGACACCACCTCATCCTACATTCTCACACCACCAAGTCAATTTCTCTCTCTCTCTCTCACCGACTCTCAGATCTTGTTCTTCCTTCTTCGAAACCTAAGGGGCTTTCTAGCTTATCAATTCAATCCTCAAAGCTTCATCATCAACGACAACAACAATGGTGGCAAAAGGGAGATACCCTCGAGGTCCTTCTCGGAAATCGTCTTCTTCCACACTCGTTATCGCCATGGTAATGATGTTCTCTTTCCTCATAGTCATCCTTCTCGCTCTCGGAATTCTCTCCATTCCCAGCGCTTCTCGTGCCTCTCCTCAGGCACACGATCTCACTTCCATCGTTCACAACACCGTTGACAGGTACGGTTTGCGTTTAATCAATTTTTCAATTTTCATTTTTTGTAAATATGTGATCTGATCGTGATGTGCAATTCAGGACTGATGAAGATGATGGGGGTGCAGATCAGTGGGTTGAAGTCATCTCTTGGGAGCCGAGAGCTTTCGTTTATCATAATTTCTTGGTTAGTTTTTTTTTTTTTTTGGTCGTCCAATGTTTTTCTGGATTCGTTTCTGTAATTTGATCTCATGCCGAAATTAGTAGGTTTTGAACATTAAGTGTAATGAAATTTTTTGATTTTGCATGGTTTGAGTTCTTCATTCTCGTTTGAAACTTTTGTAGAATGTGATCTATGATTAATAATTCACCCATTTTAGTCATATCATACCATAGGAAGTGGAGCACTCAATTGTAAAGTATGTATTAAATTGGGATCCGGACAATTATGCATTACAGCCCGTGTTCATTAGAAATCTTTGGAATTTTTAGCCTCTGGCATCTGGACAATAATGCATTATTTCTGTTTGGACTTTCTGCTCGCATTGAATCTCTCATGCTTAGGTTAATCATACAGACCAGTTCTATATGTGTGTGCACACACACGTGCGCATGTGTATCTAATCTCTAGGCAAATAGAATATGCATGTATATCTAAATTTTCTTTCCTTCTTTGTTGTGCAGTCTAAGGAAGAATGTGAATACCTAATCGATCTTGCTAAGCCCCATATGCAAAAGTCAACTGTTGTAGATAGCTCGACTGGCAAGAGTCAAGATAGTAGGTGCGCATATTCTACCTCCTCTCTGGGTATTTTTAAGTGGCTTTGCAAGATGAAGCTTACTTTTTTTTCTTTTGATTTCCTTTGTATCCTTTTGTTCGGAGACCTCTGAGATAGTCTTTACATGCAGGGTACGTACGAGCTCTGGTACCTTTCTGTCTAGAGGACGTGATAAAGTAATTCGGAAAATTGAGAAAAGGATTGCAGATTTCACCTTCATACCTGTAGGTATGCATCTGAGACACTTCTCATTAGTACTTTAGATTTTAGCAATGAGTATTTGAAGGTTCTTTTGATTTTTAGTGAGGTTTCATGTTGGTTTCTAGTTTCTACATGTTTTCCTGTGCAAAATTTAAGATAAGGCATTGGTGTCAATCAACCTCATAAATGAAAATGGTGATGAGCTGTCCTAACACCCAATATTTGGAATTGGCTTTATGGATCAAACTATGATCTGCAAGGGTTGAGATTATTATTGACCAGCTCTCAGCTTGACCTCTACCCTCTATAAATTGATCCCATATTCCTGGTAGCCAATTGATTGCAGGTTAGGGTTGTGCTGTTAATGTTGGTTTGTACTAGTTGGCTGGTAGAGCTATTTACTGTGGAAATTATACTTGTCAATGTCATGGGAAAAGAATTTGTGATGAGCATCATGACTTTTACTGGATATGCTTGACATAATCCAACGGTATAAATTATGTGGATTGAAAGGTCATTACTTGTAAGGTTCTACCAATCTTCGTATAATTTGAAGTGTGCCACTGTTTATGTTCTTTGCCTTCAAATGTTTGATTGAGCTGCTAGAATTGAAGTTCATTGATGAAGGGGTTCCTTGTTTTGAAACTCGATAAAATATGGTAGGACCCTAAGCTAGCAAGTCTTTTTTTCATTTGTATATCTAATCTGGTGGGATAAGGTGAAGAGAGGGCCACAATAAGCTTTTTGTGATTTGAGTCATGAATGTTTTTCAAGTTGTCTACTATGTTACATGGACTTGGGTATGAGTATGGGGTGTGGGTCCAAGAGTCAGACCTTCATAAATTTAAATTTTAAGATATTGGGATATATATCCAAAAGTTGCAGGAGTACGTAGGCGTGTTATGGACACATATATGTTGCATATTGTATACTATTTTTAGATAAGATTTTTTTTTATTAGCTATTCGTAGATAAAATGTTCTAAAATTATATAGAAATGTACTCGAAATTAAATACATTTTGAGGAAATATGAAAATTTTCATTCATCCATATGAGATACTAGAAATATTTTTTTACTAGCAAATTTGAGTTTCTTCTTTTTCAAGCAGTGTAAACATTAACCATGTGTCTAAATTGGGTACGGTTGTAAGACACATTTCACATCCTTACCCTTGTGATATTATGTGGACACGGGTACTTGAGGGAAATAGAAAAGTCCATGTAACACATGTCTGTCACTGTTTTTTACTGTATTTGTATGTAATTTAAACTCATATTAGAAATAAACAAGCGTACACGATTCCTATTCACTGAGAAAGAGTTCAGATGATTGCTAAGCGTTTGACCACCTAATCCATAGATCATATGGGTATGGGATTGATGCATTAAAGATTTTTCTCTAATTGCTGGTATGTTTGAACCAGGTCGTTTTTGCTGCTAGTCTTATGGAATAATGACTTTCTAAGTTTCTACAATTTTTTTACGTGTCAATTTTCAATAATATATATAGATAAAGACCCACAATTTTTGCATTTGTGTTATCATGTGATATATCTAGGCCATGTTTGGTTTGTGTTTTGAGATATTATTTCAAAAATAATTTTCTGAGAGAGTTAGAAAATTTAAAATTTTGTTTAGTTGTATGCTTTGAAAATAGTTTTGGAGTTTTGGATTTTGGGATGATTTGATTGTTTTTTGTAGTTGAATAGATGGGTGTGAGAGAAAAAATGATTGATTGATGTGTAGTTGAGAGAAAAGTGATATTGGAATTTTTTAAAAAATTTTTTTAACCAAATATGTTTTTGGAATTTTTTCTCCAAAAACATGTTTTGAGAGACAAACCAAACATGCCCTCAGTTTCTTGGTCAGATAATTTGCAATTGTATTCAATAAGAGCCTCGCTGATTGTTACGAATAAAATTCTTTTTGTATGATGTGGAATCCCTCCACGGCAGGGACTCTTTGGATCCACTTGTGCAAGGTAAACCCCAAATACCCAATCCAAGCCTTTGGTATTGGGTGAGCCAGGAAGTCACGAGTGGGAGTTGAACACATTAACAATAAAATCAATGACTATTAACAGCCTGCTTTGTGCACTTGATATTACTTGTTGATGGACTTTTGTGCTATTAGCTTTGGATATTTGTTGATTTTATTAGTAAATGTTCCTTGTTTTGGACAGTGTTTGATATGCAAAACTTCAGTTGATTTATTTTTGTAAATAGGCTTTGTTAAGATGTTGTAGAAACAATATTTTTTAAATCTTAATCTTCAGAACTCCCATTCCTCATGCAACAACCTCTACTGTTGCTAGTCAACTTCACACTATCACCAGCCTGCACCTGTCTAAGATTCATATACCCATTCTACTACTGAATTTTCAATTTATTTGACCAAACCATGGAATTTTCTAATTTTTGTCTCCCTTTCTCTAGTCTACTTTTAGTTGGTAAATTTTACTTTGTTATTTGGTGTTCTACACTCATTTGGTATTTGTTTGTGTTAATGCAATGATTTATAGAGCATGGGGAAGGACTTCAAATTCTCCACTATGAGGTTGGCCAAAAATATGAACCTCACTTTGACTACTTTGCTGATGAGTTTAATACAAAAAATGGAGGTCAACGCATTGCTACAGTTCTAATGTACCTGTGAGTAATATATCCTCCAACGATATTGCTTTGTGGTTTTTTGTGTAGGCCCTTTAATATATATATATATATATTGTCAATTCTGTCATGGTACAGCTCAGATGTTGAAGAAGGGGGTGAGACAGTATTCCCTGCTGCCAAAGGAAATTATAGTTCTGTGCCTTGGTGGAATGAGCTATCTGAATGTGGGAAAGGGGGACTTTCTGTTAAACCAAAGATGGGTGATGCATTGCTTTTTTGGAGCATGAAGCCTGATGCAACTCTGGATGCTTCAAGTTTGCACGGTTAGCCCTTGTTTATTTGATTGGCTGTAAACAGTTTGTGCTAGAGATATCAGTAGTGTGTTCATACTGCACTGCCAAGAGGGGCTTACCCATATTTTTGGCTGGGTGTTTTTTCATAACCTAATTCACATTTTCCTTCTTGTTGATGAGTTCACTATTTTTGCAATTTCAATCATGCAACAATGAAATCATTTGAAGGTGCTAGCTGATGTAGCTTTTAAAGCATATAGATTTTGAAATTATATGTTTTCGTTAATATTCTTAAGGAGCTTCAAAGCCCCCTTCATCTTCCACTCCACAAGTGTCTTACTAAATTTTTTTGAATAGTATGTGTTATTTGTTTTTTTATTTTGGTCTACTTTTAGGTGGCTGCCCCGTTATTAAAGGGAACAAGTGGTCTTCTACAAAATGGATGCGCGTCAATGAGTACAAGGTTTAATTTACAGTCTGGAAGGTAATTTTATATACCTTGATGAGATTAAAAAAAATCCCATGATTGAACTTTCCACTATAAGCATATTTTTTCGCATGTATCTCATAAAAATACAGAATTTAATGGTTGTGAGACTGCCAAACTGGTAGCATTTGCAACTTGGATCTTTATTGACATATATGGACATAGGATGTCTGATGTGTAGGCTTGTGTGTATTATGAAATTCAGTTTTTATGGTTTGTGGTGATTAGTTATTAGTATTAGAAAGGTTGAAACCCTGATCTATGCAAAATATTAAGGATGAAAGTTGACTTAGTTCTAGATATTGTCCCTGTAAATATATTTTGGTGCTTGATATTTCTGTATAAACTATTTACCATGCAGCATGTTGATTCCTTTATCTTATCTTTCTATTGGCCACAGCTTCTTTCCAGTCCAAATCGGACTGGAGGGTGCTGTTGGGCCTCCGTGGCCCACCACGGAGCCCGCATCGATGATCTGAACCGTTCAATGTGTAAGGCTCGTTGAGTATTTCATTCCTGCAAAAAATTTGTTGATTGGGTATCGATAGTCACTTGATCAGATCATATTTGTGTCAACAGTAGGTATGATTCTTAAAATAAATTATTATACAAATGTGGCCTGATCAAGTGTCTATCAATATCCGATCAACATGATTTTTTACAAGGATAGAGTACTCGACAAGCCCTAGATATTAAAGGTTTGAATTATTGATGCGGGCTCCATGATGGGCCCACAGAGGTCCAACAATGCCCTTCAGTTGGATATCCCAACTGGAGAGGAGCCTCTCCCCTTTCTATTTTCTAATGGGGGATTTGGTCAAAATCCTCTCTCATAATAAAATTTTAATACATTAAGGACAAGTACAAAAAAAAAGCTTTCTTTGAAAAGTGTAGAATACATTACTATTACCAAAATATCCGTAGTGACTAATTTAATATTTTAAATTTTAAAATGATATAACTTTTGATCTAGATGTTGATTTTTTTAAAAAATTAGTATTTTTAGAATTCTCTTATCAAGATCTATCAAACAAGATCCAGGTCTATGTTATCAAAAAACGCTAATACTCTAGCGAATTACGTATTGGTACGCACGTTCCGAAACATGGTACACTTCCATTTCAAAATTGTAAATTTAATGATCCAAAATGGTAAATTTAGTGATCTAAACTGATTCCATTTTTTTTCCCCCAATATATGTCCTTAAATGTTACCTTAGGAGGAAAAAAAATCAAATATATTGAACTAAAATTTAAGATGAGTGAAGTTTTGATAAGACAAAAAAAAAAAAAAAGAAAAAAGAAAAAAAAGGTCATAATTTTCATAGAAAATATTAAATTTTATTGGATGTCTAATAGTTTAAAAAAAATTACTTTAGAAATATCTTAAATTATTAAATATAATATATACAAGTCTACCCCTATCATACCACATTTTGGAGCATGTGGCGTACGATGTTCCAGGTAACATTGATCCAGGTTGACTATAAAATTTTTGAAAAACAAAAATTGCCGTCGTAATTGATGTAAACAGTAAAATTTTACTGTTAACGTTAGTTTCATCAAGAAAAAAAAATTACGTTTTTTTTTTTTATAAAGAATTTCATAACCAATATGAATCTTGTTTAATATATCTTGACTAAAGGATTATAAAACTACTAATTTTATTAAAAACCAATACATAAATCAAAAGTTATAACATTTTAAAATTTGAAATATAGAAGTAGTTACTAAAGGTAAGATTGTCTATAAAAACATGAAAACAAATTTGTTTGTCCTTGATGAAAGAGGCACTTCTTCTCCAGGAGGCTTACTAATGAAAAAAGTCTGGACTGTCCTTTTCACTTTAAAGGGGACCAATGAGGGACTTTTTGGCCATATATCCCTTTTCTTTATATTTGGTTTATAAAAGATCTCATCCAATGGATGAGGTATGTGATTGTTGTTCATTGACATGTACCAAGTAGGCCTTAGATGTGTGTCTAAATGCATTTTAGGCGTAATATAGAATTGAAAATTCAGTCTACATTATTGGGTTTACTTTTATTTTCTAGTCACAAGTTATGTGGTCACATTTTTGCGTATCATTGATTTGTTTCTTAGAAGTTTGCTCAACATGTGTCATTGGCATGCCAAGTACGTGCTCATATAGCATAGTCAGCAATTTATTGACCTTTATGTTTGAAAATACGCATGTGTGTGTGGGTTCATGTGCCCACATCTCCAACATGGAATGCCACATCATCACCATGTTACCATCTTCATGGACTTGGGATTCATGTGTCAACCTTGTGAGGTGACATGTGGACCAATCACATATCTCCATATGCTCTCCTCCTTGGTCATCCATGTTGGCCGAGGCTAACATATGCACTCAGACACCTCCAGAGGCACCTTGTTGCCCACTTGCCTAGATGCACTCAATGCAGCCACTTGGATTGCCCAAGCCAACTCCTACTCAAGCGCATCACCCCTCCCACATTCAATGACATGCTTGGGAGTGGCGACCCTCTACCCAAGTGTGTCCCTCACATCTCTCTATCCCTTATATCCAAGGTTATCTCGATTTACCTCCAAAAGGCACCCTGCTGTTCTCTCGACAACTTAGGTTTGGAGGAGGTCCAAGGGACTCCTTTGGGGTTTGTGTCGTGGTCATGGGGCACCCAAAAGGCCCCTTGACCTTTGCACGAGACCTTTGGGGATATGTGGCTTAATGGTCAAAGTTGAGGGCTCAGCAAAGCACTCATATTCCTCTTGAGAGAGACTTGCACCTTGAATGGTCATAGAGAGAGATCTCCTCAAGAAGACAACTCTAGACCATGACACACATGGTGCACTCTGTGCCTACTAGTACCTGTGGGCCATGTCTAATCTCCATTGCAGCTGTTGTGTTGCCTGAGGATTTCCATACCAACTAGTAATGTCTGACGACTCCACGTGGTCGAGCCAAGCATAAGAATTCATCTATCCTCATTCAGGCACGTGGCAAGGTGAACTAGTCTCCATGGCTTGACTTTCCTTTAAATAGGAGGTCTCTACCTGTACGCGTGCATGAACAAGCCTCTCCTTGGTTGGCAAGCCTAGAGGTTTTGATACTACATCCACTCTCTTTCACCATCTAAGACCACTTCAGTTGTCACCCCTCTTCCACCTCTGGTGGTCCTCCACGTCTAGAGACATGGGAGTGTTTTAAAAGGCTCTAGGCGCACCGAGGCGATAAGTTCTCTTATAGCCTAAGCATGAGGCGAGGTGCAGCACGTGCCTCACTAAAGTGAGGCGCAAGTAGTAGAAGAAAAGCAAAATTATAAAATAGACAAACTTTTCAACATAACAAATATATATAGAATTCTAAAAATTATAAAGCAAGCTTCGCTATTTCAAATAATTGATAAACATAACTTCAATATTCTAAAAACTAGAATTATAATATCCAACAAAAGATATAAAGTATCACATTCGCATCCACCAAAAACCTCAAGTTTTAAGATCATTCACATAAAGCTCAAAACCACTAAGCTTCTAGTTTGCAGTTCAAAAAAGAAATAAAAAGTACTTAATCAATAGTTGGAGTAGAAAAATAGGTCAAGTCCATGAAGCCCACGCGTCGTACCTCGAAAAAAAGCCCTCGCCTTAGCGCCTAAGCTTTGCCTTATGTATTGCGTCTCGCCTCAACTTGTTCGAAGCGCAAGGTTGCGCCTCGTGCGGTGTGTGCCTTTTAAAACATTGCATGGGACAATTTGAACTACTTATTCATCCTCATCCATCCACCATATGCATTTACATATGTAGCTCCTAGGGATGTTGGTGTCAATTTAGATGAGTTTGCAATTCACATACACTTATCTTTCTTTTATTTTAGATTTTTGAAGGGTGCATGCTGCTATTGAGCAATTCTTCTTGTGTCCAACTATTCTAAAGTGGTCAAAATGATGGCATACCAAAATGTTGTTGTAATTAAATTTTAAGCCATGTGTGTGTGTGTTGTAATTATGGACATAGAGGATATCATTTTGGAACATAATGAAATATATTATGAATGAGAGACAAAATAGTGGAATTTTTAAGCAATTTATTCCATAAATTGTTCTTATTTAGTTGATGAAACTACCCTGTTAATTGACCCTTCTCCCCAAGTGCAGATTAGTACTCACAAGGGGTTATTTATTACTTACTGTCCAGTAATATAATATGCCATGCCAACAGAACAGTGGCCAAAATCTGGTGGAGCAAGGGTTTGTATTACCCATCATTTTTGCCCTACTCTTTTGGGGCTTACTGCCTTCTACTTTCTCCTTCCAGTGATCTGGACTTAATTTCTCTGAATCCTGTCATTCAAGTATGTTGTCATTGTTCATAACTTCAAACACTATATTTTATTTTGTCCCCCTCCAGGCAATCACCCAAACAACAACAAAACCACAATTGCCAAATCAGTGTTTTTAAAGGCTCAAGGCGCACTAAGGCGCCGAAAGTCTCTTGGAGCCTAGGCGCAAGGCGATGCGCAGGCTTTATTAAAGTAAGGCGCACAGTATTCGTAAAAAATAGAAAAATTAACATAGACTAATCATTCATAGTACTAAGACAATTTTTTTAAAAATAATAAGTAATCAAGATTCAAGACAAAATATAGAATAATTCTCAAAGTCATGAAAGTGCATATTACATAACATTTCAATTTTCAAAGATCAAATAATCCACATTCAATAAAATAAAAAACATAAACACTAAACATCCAAAACATAAATATCTAACAAATACTAATATATGTCTTAACACTTAAAAACATCAATATCAAAAGAAAGGGTAGGTTAGGTCGGTGTTAGTCAATCATCATCCTCTACATCAATGGCAAGCAACTATCATCTTCTTCTCCATCAGTTGATTTGTATCCCTCAACATCTTCCTCCTCTGTGTCATCTGAGCCCGCTTCCTCTTCATCTATTAATTGAAGTGGAGTCAATGTTGATGATTTAGATATCCTCGGTTGTGCCTTTGAGCGTGAACTTGTTGCTCTACTTGCATGGCTACTTTCTTCTACTTCAGAAGCTCTAGCAACAGTGGCCCACGTCAAGCCATCATCATCATCAAACACAAGCTCGTTATCTTCATCTGATTCTCCATCCATCCTCCCACGCAACCACTCATTGCTTTCATCAATATTTTGTAAAGATATGGGATCAAGAGTGTTGCGCATGTCATACCTAAATCTCAATGTTCTATTGTATTTGACATACACTAAATCATTGAGACGACGTTGTTCCAATCTATTTCTTTTCTTGCTTGGAAGCTGCAAGTATTAAAAAGATATTAAATTCTATATTATGAGAATAAAAAATATTTGAATTAAACAAAAAATTAGTTAGAATGTTAAATACTCATATGTTCGAATACACTCTAATTTCGTTCACAACCCGATGAACTACATGTTAGGCTAAGGACTTTTATGGTAAAAGTTTGCAAGTTTGGAGTATAAGAACCATATGATGCCCACCAATCAGCTGCAATAATCCACTAGTTAGAAATAATTGTTACCAAGTATTAAGTTTTACTAAAAGTATTATTAAAAATAAACTCTATGAGTCTATAATATATTACCTAGTGCTCTTGTATTTCTTTGCCTAATCGCAACAGCCTTGCCAAAAAGACTCTCAGCCTTCATATAAATACTTATCTCATTAGTGATCAAATCTTGAACAGTGACATCCGGGACCAACCTTTGCATGCATTCATAAAACCCATTCATCACTTCATGATCTCTTTGCACCTCTAACGCTTTTGGGTAAAAGAATTCTGGGTTAAGAAAATGCGCAGCTGCATGTAAAGGTCGATGCAATTGGACATCCCATCTTTTGTCAATGATTTCGAAGATTTCATTATACTTCTCTTCTTTATGATCAAAGGAACTTGCAATGCATTCGTTTGCCCTATCCATTGCCTCATAAATGTATCCCATGGGAGGTTTCTTCTCGGTATCAACCAATCTAAGCACTTTGACAAGAGGACCCGAGACCTTAAGGGCAAACACAACAGTATTCCAAAATGAAGGCATCAACAAAGTTAGTGTCATTCTTTTACCTTGTGGCTCCTTTGCCCATTTGCTTGAGGTCCAGTCTTCGGAGGTAACCGTCTTTCCCAAATTGTTTTTTTGTTGATGCATCCTAGACAAAGTAAAAAAGGCGGTTGCAAATCTAGTTTTTGCAGGCTTGATCAAATTCTTCAAATTTGTATAGCGCCTCATCATGTTTAGCAACGTAGGGCGATTGTAAATGTAGCCATGTACTGCAATACCCTTTTCAAATGTCTTTTTCAGTCTAGGTATCTTGAAAATGTCTTCTAATATCAAGTCCAAACAATGAGTAGCACATGGTGTCCAATACAAGTGTTCATACTTAGCTTCCAAAAACCTCCCTATAATGTAACAATAATGAAGAATTATTATTTTTCAAGTTTTTAAATTTTAAATACAAAACAAATTATGAGTAAACAATTTTGATGTAAGGAATGAGGAAATATTCTTACCCGCCAACACATTAGCTGCAGCACTATTAGTGATAACTTGCACCACATTCTCTTTTCCAACTTTCTCCACAAACTTGTCTAGTAATTCAAATAGCTTTTCCCATCCTTTGAATAGCTAGAAGCATCAACCGACTTAACAAACATGGTTCCTCTTGGACAATTAACTAAAAAGTTAATCAATGTCCTTCCTCTCTTATCAGTCCAACCATCAGCCATTATGGAACACCCGTATTTTGCACAATCCTCTTTATGATACTTCATCAAATCTTCAGTATGTTTCACTTCTTTTTTGAGTTGGGTAACCCGCACTTCATGGTAAGTTGGTGGCTTCATACCAGGATCATATTGGCCAATGGCTTCAATCATTGGTCCAAAACTCTCATAATTTACTACATTAGAAGGGATACCAGCATCATACATCCACCTAGCATATCTTTGCAGTGCCCGAGCTCTTATTTCTTTTTTGTGAGGGTCATTTGCATCAATTTTGGTTTGTTTCCCTTTTGCTTGGTCTTTTCGATTTTTCACCACTGATTCAGGATTGGGTGTGAAGTAAACATCCATAGGCCTTTTTTTCTTTGGCATTTTTGATTTTGATTTGGATTTGGATTTGGATAAACCTTGGCTACTACTTGTTAACTTGCGGTGTTGATTGACATTGATCTCAATGACATCTTCATCTTCATCATCATCTTCCATGTCCATGTCATCAAAATCAGGCAACATGTTCATTTCTTCTTTTTGTGTCTTTTTTTTGGACATGAACTCTCTAATCTCTTCTCTTACATGAGAAGGACACTTCGGGCAAGCAGTGACATTCCTATAACCTCCTGCAAGGTGTTGTTTCACCCGATAAACACCTCCATTTGATGCCTTACCACAAAAATTACACTCAAACTTGTTTAAATTATTCTCCTCCACCAAATGGGCATATTGCCACGCCGGATCTTTTCTATTACTTTCCGATGTCATTTTCTACTTAGTACTTACTACACAATACAAAAAATAAATAACAAAAAAATAATTTCAGTATAATGAATGTAATGCATGTTATGTGATGAATTAATTAATGCATGTAATGTATGAATCAATTTTCTATTTTTTTAATTGATTAATTAATGTACATTACATTCCATTACATTAATTCCTATGTTACATTCAATTTTCTTGTAATGTATGTAATGTAATGTATGAATTAATTAATGTTATGAATCAATTTTCTATTTTTTTAATTAAAGGTGAATTAATTAATTTCAGTATAATGATGAATTAATTTCAGTATAATCATAATGAATGTAATATATCTATTTTTATAATTGAAAAAAAAATTATTTATTTATTTATCATAATCAATTAATTAATTTATTTATTTATGAATTAATTAATTTATCATAATCAATTTCAGGCTTCCCATTTTTTTTCAGACTCAACTCAAATAATTGAAAAAAAAAAATAAAAGAAGAAAAATAAATAAATAAATAAAAGCAAAACAGATCAGTCGAAGGAAAAAACAGAGCTGAAGTCGATCGAAGACGAAGAAGAAGGGGAAGGGAAGAGAGAGTCGAACCTGCGAAGCCGATCGAAGTCGAACCAGCGAAGTCGATCGAAGTCGTAGTCGCAGAGGAAGAGGAAGAGACGACTTCTTTTTCTGAACACAGGAAGAGACGACTTCGATTAGGGTTATCTGAGTCCTATTTGGCTCATATGGTCCATGAGTTGTAATCCTCTGTGATTACGAGGCCTTCGATTAGGTTCATCTGAGTCGTTAGATCAGATCTACAACTTGAACACTCAGTCGCGCCTAGGCGATCGCCTTGCGCCTCTCTCGCCTTGCTCCAGTCGCGGCTAAGGCGCTCGCCTGGCTCAAGTCGCCTCGCCTGGTACCTCGACAGGCGCAGATGGTGCGACTCGACTCGCCCTGCGCCTAGGTGCGCGCCTTTGACAACACTGTGCCAAATAAAAATCCGTGGAAAGAGCTTGTTTCCAATTAAGGTTATGTTTGGATAGTAGATTTGTTGATAGATTTGCAAAGGGAAAAACAAAGGAAAGAGGAAAGAAAAATAAAGTAGTTTTTTGCTTTCACAAATAAACCAAACCAAATTAAGCATTACATAAAACTCTTACTCCTACAGCCTCTTTTCTTTTTGTCATCTCATAATTGGAATGATGAACAACATTACCCCTTGCGTGTTCTAGTTCCAAATAATCAAAAAAGTTTCATTAACAAGCTCAGATTTTTTGTTTTCATTTCTTTTATTTCAAATCTCTTCTCTAATACTTGAAGGGACTCATACAGAGAGCGTTTAAGACACACAGAATCAGAAGCACGCAGACAAAGAACCATGTATGCTCGTTACACCCTTCCTTCTACTTTCTATGTTCTTCTTTTTCATTTTCATAATTGGACACCCAACATTACACTTCTAAGAATATGCTCTGTTTTATTCCCAAATCCTACCTTATTATAACCATTAAATTAGGCTATACGGAGTGGCAGTGGTGCCACTCAACATATATACATATACACAAGTTTGGCACACACGATATATGTGCAAGTTAAATAAATAAAATAAAATAACATATTTAATATATATTGGTTGTAATCTCAAGTCATAAGAGTATTTTATATTAAATTTGTGTTTATGTTTGTTCTCCCTACAAAGGATGTGTATTGAACTTCATTATATATCTTTTTTTGGTTATAGTATGACTTACTTATCCAAAAATATATATATATATATTAAATTTGTGATCTTGAGTTCAAGTCTTAGCCTATTCTCTTCTAACTTTTTTTTTATTTTTTATTTTTTTAATAAATAACTAAACACTTGGCAAAAAGAGAGATAAAGTTTCAAGAAACTAATCTAAGTGCTCACATATATAATAGTATAGATAGATATACGTATATAAATACACTAGTGGTGGCACACACAATGTGTGTGCAATTCAAATAAGTAAAAATAAAAATAAATAATAAAGAATTATATCATAATATGCATGTTGTCCAAGTGGTAAGGGTGTTGTGAATAAAACCTAAGGTCTTGGGTTCAAATTTTTTTCACTCCAATTTGTAACTTTTTATTTTAGCCTAGAAAAAGTTGCCATGTGGCATGACATAAAGGTTTGCACACCAAGTCTAGCCATCACTTAATAATAGTATAGATAGATAGATATATGCTCTATCAAGTGCCATATGCTTAGTTAAATTAAGTAAATTCAGCCATAGTTTTTACCTGCATGTTCATATTCAGATTCATTTTCATAATCTGATGGGACTTTGATGTGTTGGTTGTTTGGACTTAGCTATTTAACACACAATCCTCCTCTGTCTGGCATAGGGACTGGCAATGTTGAAAAACAATGCTGGTAGAGTTTTATCCTTTCATAAATTCTCCGCAAATAAAACCAGTGAATATGTCAGTATTGGAGTTGGCCATCATTGTTATTACCATTACTATGGTTATTGTCATTGTCATTATTTTTATGATGAGGAGGAGGATTATTATTATTATTAGTACTACTTATGGATTATCTTCGTTGGCAGGTTTGCGAATGAGTTCATTTGGGTATACTGTTGTATTCTTTGTATCAAATGGTGATAGAATTTCAAGCGGGAGCTCCTCGGGTGTTGGAGTGTCAAAGTCTGGGATAAAACCTTCATACATTAGTTACATGCTTCATGCCATCAATTTTGATTTACAGACTATCTTCCTTCTAACTTTTATGCTTTGTTGGGTTTCCATCTATGTTGTCATAAAAGGGTGGGGAAATTTCAAATGAACTTCAAACTTATCAACTACATAAGGAGATTGAATTGCTGAGTGATTCACTGACACCTAAATTCTGAAACAAAATTATATATATATTTGGTGAATATATAGATATGGTTTTTTTTTATTTAATTTGTTATCTTTTATTGGAGTAAAAGTGTTTTGAAAATAGGTGAAATGGTTAGAAATTGTTCTGATTTCAGTGAAAATTGTAATTGAATTCAATAAATAGTGTATTATGTTTCTGTGGGGACATAATTTTTGAATGACAACACGTCGCCGATGTATCACCGAAGTGCCAGCCGAGGTGTCACGTGTCCTGGTCATGACATCGAGATCATCTCAGCTAGGTCGAGGTTATCTACGAAGATACAAGAATCCGGGATAAGCGGATAAGGGACAAGAGTCCTAGAATGGGAGAAGACTTCAATTTGGTAAAGATAAGACTCTTAGAGAGTTTATCCTAATCTTACTAGGAGTACAAGATTAGCAGTAATCCTAAGTCCATTAGAGTTAGGCTTCTATTGGGACTAGGATTGTATTGGCTATAAAAATGAGGCACCCCCCATGGGTCTAAGGTATGGCTTTTATGCTCTGTCTAGTGAGTTAAGCAGTATTGGTTATCTTTGAGAGATATTTTACTGATTTGATCGTCGGAGTGCCCCTGGGTGGATAAGCCACCGTCGGAATCTCTTCTTTCTGTTGCAGGTTGTTCGGGCTTAACCTATTCTGTCGGTGTTCTCCAGTTGAGTGCTTGATTGGCAGTGTGGTCGGAAATTGACCCACACAATTTGGCGCCGTCTGTGGGAAAGAAAGGAGAATAGATGGCTAGCAACGGACAGAAAGAGAAGGTTGGGAATGACATCCCTACTGGAAGTGGGAAACATGTAGACCTTGACGTCGAAGAAGACAACTGCAACAAAAATACTCGTGATAAGAATCACGGAGAAAAGGACGTCGGCCAGGAGGGCGACATGCCAAAGAAATCGGATCGAGGCGGGTACTATAACGAAGACGACCTCCAGATGTCGAAAGAAAGATGCCTGCGGAGGGACGACGAGGTGAAGGGAATGGCGAACAAATTGGCGAACCTACAAACGGTCGTCAATTTCTTGATGCAGATCAACGTCATGCAGCCACCGATCCCGCTACAAGATACGCCGATTCCAGCGGCCAAGAAAGATGCCCAGAAAGGGAGGCAGAACACAGTTCCTGCAGTCCCTCAGCACGACAGGGCAAAGGGGCATTCTCACCGGCCTTCACGGGAGGTCGGGCATGGAGAATCAAAGAGGGCTGGAGAATGATGCTTGGGAGTTAGAATTTACAAGCTAAGGTTGGTTTAACAATTGTTGAAATTTTAAAAATTTACAAGTTGAAGTTAAATTGAGGTCGTGTTTAACACTTGTTGAAATTTTAAAAATTTACAAGTTGAAGTTAAACCGATGACATGTTTAACACTTGTTGAAATTTTAAAAATTTACAAATTGAAGTTAAACCAATGTCATGTTTAACACTTGTTGAAATTTTAAAAATTTACAAGTTAAAATTAAACCGGGGTCATGATTAAAGGAAGGAATAATATAGGTTCTATCACCTCAGGATGTCGAGGTAATAGAACCTAGGGGGCAGTTGTGGGGTCATAATTTTTGAATGACAACACGTCGCCGATATGTCGCCGAAGTGCCAACCGAGGTGCCACGTGTCCTGATCATGACACCGAGATCATCTCGGCTAGGTCAAGGTTATCTACGAAGATACAAGAATCCGGGATAAGCGGATAAGGGACAAGAGTCCTAGAATGGGAGAAGATTTCAGTTTGGGTAAAGATAAGACTCTTAGAGAGTTTATCCTACCCCTACTGGGAGTCCAAGATTAGCAGTAATCCTAAGTCCATTAGAGTTAAGTTTCTATTGGGACTAGGATTGTATTGGCTATAAAAAGGAGGCACCCCCCATGGGTCTAAGGTATGACTTTTATGCTCTGTCTAGTGAGTTAAGCAGTATTGGTTATCTTTGAGAGATATTTTACTGACTTGATCGTCGGAGTGTCCCCGGGTGGACGAGTTACCGCCGGAATCTCTTCTTTCTGTTGCAGGTTGTTCGGGCTTAACCTATTCTACCGGTGTTCTCCAGCTGAGTACTTGATTGGCAGTGTAGTCGGAAATTGACCCACACAGTTTCTTTTTATATTTTTCTTGTGCTTTAGTGGCACTTGTTAGTAAGAGACTCATAAATTATTTCTTCCTCAAAAAACTTTACAAAATATGGTGCAAAACATCATGTTAAAACCAACGTATCATTTTGCTTGCTTTAGCAAAAAATATTTTTCTTAGTGAAAAATATTGTTTGAAAACATAATTTTTTTTTCTTATTATGCTACTTTAAATGTAGTCAGAAAACGGATGTTATTTGACTTGCATAAAAAAATATTAATATTTCATAAATCTAAATGGTTACTTAAACAAAAACTTTCCTTTATAATATGAATATCATATAGAGCAACCATAAACTCAACCTAAACATATATATATTTATATATATATATTATATTTCTCAATATGCACATTTATTAGAGGTGGTGACACACCGGTGGCTATGACAACGATAACAATTGTATGGTTGTAAGATAGCGGTGACTATGGTTTTGGGTGGTTGGCAGTGAGAGTAATGGGGATGCGGATGGTGGTGGTAAGGTAGCAGGGTGATGGTGTGCTGGTGCATTATCTTGTTAGGTTGAAAAAGGAAAAAGCTTCCTAACTCGAATTCCTTGTGGCTCGATGGCCCGAAATTCAAATTTTCAAATTTTCTCTCTTCAGTCAAATATAATATAATATATCAATATTTTCTCTCGCCTCATACACTGTTTTCTGTCTCTATTCGAAGCCAAAAACCATTGAAACAAAGCTCTCAGCAGATCTCTCTCATTGAAGATCACTCTTACCCTTGCCTTGCCTTACAGATCTCTTATCCCAATTTTGTACCACCAGAAATTTATACCAACACTGTTGAATAGTTTTTGATCTTTGTCTAATTGTAATTGGGTGGTGCCTTGCACCTTCTAATACAGTTCCATCTTATTTATTTGTTCATACATATATATATTTACCATATAGGAAACAAGTTTGAAACCATGATACAGTTAACAATATTTAGGCAAACATTTGATGAAAAGGAGAAAAAATCATCCGTTCTTGAAAAATAAATTCTAATGCAAATTAAAATTAGATATCAACCTTGGAAGATACTTAGTCAGTATAAAAAGATTTGATGGACTCCTTATTTTCTTCCACTATGGACAGAGCACAATGTTGATGTCCACACACAGCAGTAGCACCCAGATCGGTGCTTAGCGGCAGCACTGTTCCGCTCCTCTCACTGTTCCGATCAGTGCTCAACGGTTGCACTCCGATCGGTGCTCAGCGGCGGCACTGTCGCTAGGTTAGGAAGGAGTCTTCACTTTGTTTGTTTGTTTTTTTTTTTTTTCAATTGAAATGGGAGTTGAGTTGAGCACACGCACACACTAGATAAAGCTCAAAATCGAGCCACTCGAGCCACAACGTATTCGAGCTACGTAGCGGAGTTGGTTGAAAAAATATTATTTTACTTTCAAAAATTTTAAATTTTGTTTTGTTTTGTTTTGTTTTTTTCTAAATCAACTCTTTTTTTTTTTTACGACGGATATATATATTTTTATTGAGTTGGGTTTTTGTCATATTAATTATTAAATACTAAAAAAGTTTGTTTTTTTTTTTTGTCCGAATCAACTTATTTTTTATTGAACACAAAATCAATTTTCATTGACTTTTGGCACTAAGTACCAAAAATTATAAAAAATATTTTTGAAAATATCTTCTAGAAACATTTTTTGCACAAATTAATTCATATTAACTTTGAAATTTTTTTTTCTCTACTTTTATTTTAGTTCTATTAAGCCTCCGTTTGGGAAGTGGGTTGGCTTTTTGGCTTTTTTGGCTATTTTAGCCTGGGCTAAAAAGCTTGGTTTGGGAAGGGCTTTTTGGCTTTTTGGCTTTTTTGACTTTTTTTGTGAGAGAAGAATGTAATGATTATAGGTTGGATGTGATGTTTTGTTTGTTATAGCTAAAATAGCCTATTTTGTTTTTTGTGGCTAAAATAGCCAAAAAAGCCTGAAAAAGCCCTTGCCAAACACAGGCTAAATACTGGAAAATGTAAAAAATATTTTTTACAAATACTTTCTTTCCTTACAATATGATCTTGGTTAAGTCAGCTTCGTTTGGCAAGGAGGTTTTGGGTTATTTTAGCCACAATAGATAAAATAGGCTATTTTAGTCACAACTAACAAAACATCATATTCAACCCATAATTATTACACTCTTTTTTTACAAAAAAAAAGTCAAAAAGTCAAAAAGTCCTTCCCAAATCAAGCTTTTTAACCCAGGCTAAAATAGTCAAAAAAGTTAAAAAGTCAAGAAGCCAACCCACTCCCCAAACGGAGGCTAAATTATCAATTATTTTTAAAACTTAAAATGTTTAGAAATTTCAGACAATCTTAGGAGACACCAAAATTAACCCCAACTTCTCAAGAATCGGAACCCAAATATAATCAATGCTTGTTTATTTAAATAAAAAAAATATGGTGCGATGTTCGCATTCATATCTCTCCAACACACAAGTGAGGTTAGATTGCTTGGATTGGATTTGTTTGGGAAGAATTTTTTAAATTTGACTTTTTAGTCTGGCTAAATTAGTTTTGTTTGAAAAGAATTTTTTAATTTTTTTGCTTTTTTATTAGAGAAAAAGTAAAATAATTATAATTTAAATGTTACATTGTCTTATTGACATTGCCTATTTTATTTTTTGTGCTTTTTTAGTCCCACCAACTTCCCAAAAGGGGACGAAATTGAAAGAATCGACGACTTAAAGTTTTTTTCATCTTGATAAATAAATTTCATAAATTTTTCATATTTTTGAAAAGTTTATAAAATCTATTTGTTTAATATTTTCCTAATCATCCTACACAATTTTTTTTTTCAAGAAATAAATGAGGTGGTTGTTTATTAGGTGTGATATTTGAATTCGAGTCTTATCACATCATCCCATTTCTAACAATTATAGAAGAAAAAAAAAGAAGTCAAAGAAAAAGATTTTT